AAACGAGAGGAAGGGGGTGGGTCTGTCTGCCCCTTCTCAGCAGCCTAGGACAGACATCCGCCTGGCACCTGAACAGAAGGAAATCATGGGTTGTGTCATACATAAGCTGCACTGGTTTCTAGCAGGGTAGACATTAAGAAGAAGCATTTCAGCCCGTGTTACGGCTTAACTATTGTGGGTTCACCAGTGGCAGGGGGAAACTTGAATGGAAACATTTATTATGTATACTGAATCAGATGAAGTACATCATAGTTACTTTCTCAACGTTAGAGTGGAGTACCACGGTGACACATCTACTTTTCATTAAGGAAGTTGCTTCCTTCTCATTTTCAGCACTCCATACAATGCACCAGAGCTCTGTATGTGCTGTGCCCTGGCCATGTACTCAGGCTCACATTTACAACTCTCCTCCCCCGCCTGGCTGCCCACAAACCCAACCTGCCTTGGGGTTTTGACAGTGTTTTTTTCTCATTTCTCTGTCACTGTTAATAATACAACTCAGCATCTGGAACTTAGCAATTATTTGAGTGACCTCCAAGCCAGGAGCTAATCCAAAGCAGACTCCTATAGGTAGCTGGTGCTGGCTGCCATGTGCTGAGGAGATAAGCAGTGGTACAGCACGTCTGGGTCACCTGTTGGTCATTCAGGACACCCTCTGAGCAGCAAATGTGAAACTCTGCCATTTTCACCTCACCATCTCTCTTAGAAAACTCTCCAGACTTTTAAAGTTGCACTGGTGCAACACCCCTCTCTGTTTATATGGTGATACAGGCAGTGCACTACAAAAATAGTTACCTTTTCATCCCTGCTTTTCCCAAGAGGTGCTGAGAGTCTCCATCTCTCACCAGAGCAGTGGAAGCAGACATGCTCAGCACCCATGAGTGAGCCTGAAGAAGAATGACTTTTCCTGTCCTCAGAGGTTTAACCTGCGTGAATGCCCTCCCCAGATGGATGTGCACAGCTCCTGTCACACTTGAGCATTTGGCAATTACCAGGCAGCACAGCCTGAAGGCTCCATGGGTTTCAGCAGGCTGAAACCTGTATGGAGAATTTTCCATGCCACAGTACAGGCTGCATGCTGCACTATGGCAGCAGGGCAGTCGTTGGCATGGCAGTATTTTACACAGCTACCTGGGAGCTGTTGAGGAGAGATGCGAGTCCTTTCTTCAGAGATGGAGAAGAGGATATCATTCCGTCTTCCCAGAGAGCCTGTATCATCATGCCTGCATCCAAATAACAAGCCCTCAGGACCAAACCGGTAATTATCACATTTTACAGACTCCCAGGATGATCTAGACCATTTTCCTGTGCTCAGTAATGCCACTATTATAAACTTTAGTTCTTCTGACGTAAGCTGAAAAAGGCAGGATATGATTCCCAAAGTACAGGGTAACTTTGGGCGTTGCTTATGATTTCATGGTTGGTTTCACAGCTGTTTTGCAGTTTGCCCATAGGCAGCTAATGGCTAAATTCACATTTCAGTGTAATTCCATGGTGCTGCAGCATAGCCCATAACTCAGCTGGGACTTCAGCTGATCCCCCCACAGGGATCTCCATCCAAATATAAATGTTACATTTATATATCTAATACTTTCAGCCATGAACATTACATACATTAAATGGAACCTTTTTAAATACCATCTTGACATGCCAAAAATAGATTCTTTCATCAACTTTCTGCCCTGCAATATCCATCTTTTGTTTACAATGTACATATATGTTTATATTTTTATATATTTAGGAACACGAAAATACCATATATAAATATTTGCTTTAAATGTCTATATCTAAGTACGTATGACAGCATCAGTGGAGCAGTTGCTAGGTACTGGGAAGTCCATGCATTCCAGATGTGGTTTCTTGGGTCTTCTTAAGCTGTGGAGATGGAATTACTCAGTAGATTTAAGCAGGACAGCGTGGGCTGTTTATACCATCTGCAGACCACTCACCCCCCGCCCATCTATGTCTATGCACAGCACATGCATTCCTTCTTACAGTATGTACTGTATTTAGTTTTACAGAGCAAATATTTTTGTAGCACAAGGGCAGTATCTTACGGAGTGGAATGAAACCAACAGACAAAAGTAAACTCAAGTCTGCAGTGCCAAAAAAAAAAAAAAGTATAATTGCTCTATGGTGCTTATCATTGCTCTGCAAGCTAGAAACTACAGTTGCAGACTTGTGAAAAATCAAGCGTTAGATTGGTACTTTTTGTCAGTGTTTTCATTGTCAGAACCAAAGTGTAAGAGCCTTGGATTCAGCTGCTCTGTAGCCCTCCTCTCAAAAACACTACAAAAATAAATCTTGGGCATAATCTCCAGAGAGACTTCTCTGTCTCACACAGTGCAACAGCCTGCTTACCCAGCCAGACTGCTGGTCACGGTACATGGCTGCCAGATCAAGGGTTTATGGACCACATACTTGCCCACACCCCCCCTGCCCTGAAAACTTTGTATGAATTCTCTGTTCCTGCGATCTTGCCCTGAACTGAAATGTTTCACAAACAGAAATTGACCAGTCTATAGCAAGCGGCTGTTAGCTATTTTCTGCTTTTGGATAATAAAGTGCTCTTGTTTTAATTAGTTACTAGCTACCAGGGAACTCCAAGGAGAAGGCAGACTTTCTCTTCCTTCTCCCACTGCTGCACTTCCCTGGGGGTTAGACATGAGATTCATCCAGATCAATGTCAGTCTCCCCGAGCTCCACGTGCGTGAAGCTGAAGTGGGTGGCCAGCAAGGGGTTCTCCATGCCGTTGTCCTCACTGATGTGAAGAACTGTGTCCCCGTGCTGCAGCAAGCTGGTGGTCTCGAGGCCAGCGTAGTCCTCGGTGTCAGAGAGCTGGGTGGGTGGGGTGTCTTGTGCTGTTGTTGGCTGGGTCTCCAAACCCTGCTCTTCTTCCTTATCCTCAGCAGGAACAGCCTGCTTACCCAGCCAGACTGCTGGTCACGGTACATGGCTGCCAGATCAAGGGTTTATGGACCACATACTTGCCCACACCCCCCCTGCTCTGAAAACTTTGTATGAATTCTCTGTTCCTGCGATCTTGCCCTGAACTGAAATGTTTCACAAACAGAAATTGACCAGTCTATAGCAAGCGGCTGTTAGCTATTTTCTGCTTTTGGATAATAAAGTGCTCTTGTTTTAATTAGTTACTAGCTACCAGGGAACTCCAAGGAGAAGGCAGACTTTCTCTTCCTTCTCCCACTGCTGCACTTCCCTGGGGGTTAGACATGAGATTCATCCAGATCAATGTCAGTCTCCCCGAGCTCCACGTGCGTGAAGCTGAAGTGGGTGGCCAGCAAGGGGTTCTCCATGCCGTTGTCCTCACTGATGTGAAGAACTGTGTCCCCGTGCTGCAGCAAGCTGGTGGTCTCGAGGCCAGCGTAGTCCTCGGTGTCAGAGAGCTGGGTGGGTGGGGTGTCTTGTGCTGTTGTTGGCTGGGGCTCCAAACCCTGCTCTTCTTCCTTATCCTCAGCAGGAAGTGCCTCGGTCTGCAGTTAAGGGTAGTCAGTGGTCAGGCTTAGAAAAAGTGGGAGGGAGAGGGAGGCAGAAAGCGTGGGAACATCTGTTAAGTATTTTCTCATTCTGAAACACTTTTTACCATAGAGGACCAGGGCACTTGCAGATTATAAATCCCTAAAATTTTGCCTTAAAACAATATATTTTTGCTGGTGAATCAAATTTGTAGCAATGAGCAAAAAGGTTATCTGATTTCAGCCATTA